AGAAAAAGAGTGCATGAAAACACATACACTTAATGGTAAATGGATCCCCATGGACAATCAGCTGGCTTCAACGACCATCAACCCACTTTATTCACCTCTTACAGCTGAAGTGTGCTCTGTACAATTTTGAAGCAAATCCAAAATACATAATTTCATCTATAAATATTTTGTGTATATCTTTAAAAGATTCTCTTAAAAAAATAATTTGGTGGTACCAGGGTTTGAACTCAGGGCTTCATGCTAGCTAGATTCTACTCCTTGAGCCAGGGTCTCTACATAGCCCAGGCTAGGCTTGAACTCAAGATCCTCCTGCCTCAGTATCCCAAGTGCTGGAATTGCAGCTGTGTTCCACCACACCCAGCTAAGAATTCTTTTTATTTTTATTTTTTATTTTTTGGCAGCACTGGGGTTTGAACTCAGGGCCTCATACTTGCTAGGCAGGTACTCCTACCACTTGAGCCAGTCTGCCAGCTCTTAAGAATTCTTTTTAAAAATGTAACTGTGAGAGCATGAATACACCTAATAGGTAACATTAATTCCCAAAATGATTGAATATCCAATAAGTGTTCAAATTTTTATTCTTTCATAAATTGTTTTTCTCCATTTGCCTGAATCAGGATCCAAAAAAGATTCACACACAGCATTATTTGCTATGTCTCTTAATTCTCATTTACTCTACAGTCTTTCCCTTTATCTTTTTCCCACTTAGATTTACTTGTTGACGAAATCAGGCTGTTTGTAGTGTGCCCTATTATCTGAATTTACTGAGTAGTGTCTCTCCCTACAATCTGTTCCTATTTTCCCTCTAAATTGGTGATTGAACTTGAAATATTTCTTTCCATAGTGTTGTGCATTAGGCACACACAAATACAACTTTTTAAGGAAATTGTCAAAAAACAGAGAAAGAAGAGCACAATAAATCTCTGTATACTTGTGTTAGTTTCTGTTGGCTGCTGTGACAAGCCACCACGCAGTTGATACTTTACAACCATACTTTTTTTTTTTTCTTGTTTTTTTTTGGTTCTGGGGCTTGATCTCAGGGCCTTCACCTTGAGCCACTCCACCAGCCTTTTTTTGTGATGGGTTTTTTGAGATAGGGTCTCACTAACTATTTGCCCAGGCTGGGTTCAAACTGCGATCCTCCTGATCCCCGCCTCCTGAGTAGCTAGGATTGCAGGCATGAGCCACGGCACCCAGCACAACTACACATATTTATTGACAGTTCTGAGGCCAGAAGTCCAAAGTCACTGGGCCAAAATGAAGGTGGCCCAGCAAGGCCATGCTCCCTCCTGAAGCTCCAGGCTAGGGTCCATCCTTTGCCTCTTCTGATAGTTGCTGGCATTCCTGGCTTGGGGGCTCATCTCTCTGCCTTGGTGGCTACACAGCCTTCTGCTCACTGTGGTCAAATCTCCTGCAGCCTACTCTCACGTGGATACTTGTGACTATATTAAGGCCCACTGGGATAATCCAGGAGAATCTCTTCCATTCAAGACCATTGACTTAATCACATCTGCAGACTCTGACATACAAGGTAATGTTTATAGGTTCCAGGATTAGGACCTGATGTCTTTGAGGACCTTCTACAATGGCGTTCTCCAAATTCAATAATTATCAGCATTTGTCTACTCTCTATTGCTCTTCTCTGTTCCTCTTCCTCCCTTCCTCCTTTCCTTTCTTTCTCTTCCTACCTTTCTTTCTACAGTCCTCCCTCTCTTCCCTCCCAGACTGCCTTCTTTTCATTTCTTCTTCTTCGCCTCCTCTTCCTCCTCCTCCTTCTTCTTCCCTCTCCCTGCACACTTAATTGTTCTCTCTCTCTCTTTCTCTTCTTCCTTTCCTCTCTCTCTCTCTCTCTCTCTCTTTCTCTCTCTAGTGCTGTGCATTGAACCCAGAGCCTTGAGCATGCTAGGCAAGTGAAGTGAGCTACCCTCCAACCTTCTTCTTATTTTGCTGTAATATTTTATTTTTTGGTGGTACTGGGGTTTGAACTCAGGGCCTCATGTTTGCTAGGCAGGTACTCTATCACTTGAGCTACTCTGTCAGCTCTTGCTGTTATATTTTAAAGCAAATCTCTGTAATTTCATCCCTGAATATTTCCATACATGGAGACATTTTATTATATAACCTGATATCATTATCACCTAATAGAGTTAACAGCAATGCCTTAGAGTCATCTAAAATCCTGTCAATAGTCAGATTTCCTTGATTTTCTCAAATACGTGTGTCTTGAACATCTTCTGTTCGCCCCTGCAGACCCACTGACCCCCTTTCTGCCCCATGCTCCCCTGGAGGATAACAGTATGGGATACATGAATGCTCTCTTGCTTCTGGTTGGGCTCAGACAACCTGAGGCACTAGTAAGACACAACAGGATGGAAGGAGAGAGAGGTTGGGATATTTATTTCCTGGTTCCCTCCCTTTGGAGTGGTTGTGGCTTTTTACCCAAGGTCACAGCTCCAAGCAGGTGATACCCCCAATCAGCCATCCTATTCCTTTGAGTCTATGGCCTTGCCCACATCTTCCCATGCAGGTCCTCTGTCCCTGTCCAGGTGCATACCCAGTTTGGGTGTACTATGTGATACATATTCTAACTGATACACAATGTCTTTTGATGATCCAAGTTCAAACAAGAGCCATGAGTTAGATCTTTGTGACTCTTGAGTTCTGGAACAGTTGGGAACAGTTACTCCCTTTCTGCTGGTTGGTTGTTTTCATGTGATTGATTCGTTGAAATAACCAGGCTGGTTTTCCCATAGAATGTCCTGCATTCTGGATGTGGTAGATTGCTGTCTTGTAGGCCCCTTCAATTTATTCCTTTGTCCTCTGTATTTCCTGCAAACTGAGGGTAAATGTAAAGGAATGTAAAGGCCTAGTTAGATTTGAATTTGGATTTTTTTAGTTAATTTTTAAAAATTTATTTTATTTTATTTTTTGCAGTATTGGGGTTTGAACTTAGGGCCTTGCACTTGCTAGGCAGGCGTTCTACCACTTGGGGCAGGCCTGCAGCCTTCAAATCTGGATATATTTTAAAGGAGAGCTAACAGATTTTTCCAACAAAATGGATGTGGGATATGAGAGAAACAGTCACTCTCAGTTTCCTCTTTCTTTTTTTTTTTTTCCTGGTGGTACTGGGGTTTGAACTCAGGCCCTCACACTTGCTAAGCAAGTGCTCTACCACTTGAGCCACTCCAGCAGTCCTATTTTGTGCTGGATTTTTTTCAAGATAGGGTCTCTTGAACTGTTTGCCCAGGCTGGCTTCAAACTGCAATCCTCCTGATCTCTGCCTCCTGAGTAGCTAGGATTATAGGCGTGAGCCATGGGTACACAGCAGCCGTGTTTCTTCTTTTGTAAACTATTGATTATATCGTCTACCTGCTTATCTTGTTATTGATAATCTCAAGAGATGTACTGATATGCAGTTGTTCTGTGTGCACACATAAGGACTACTGGAAAACATGCTGAACCAAACAGTCCTGAATCTTTTGCTTTTGTTTATTTGTGGTGCTGGGGATCAAAGCCAGGGTGTTGTGCATGCTAGGCAAGCACTGTGCTACTGAACTATACATCCAGCATGGATCATGAGCCAGGTGTCATGGAGACTTTGGTCAACAGAGGCTCCCTGATCCCTGAGGTCCCTCCCAGGTTTGATATCCCTCCTGGAGGGTAGTGGCTAGAGGAAGGCTGAGGAAATAAGGTCATTTTGGAAAGTAGTATCTTGGTTGGGGAGCAAACCTGGGGCCTTGCCTCTTGGTGAGGTAGTTTTCATGAAGGTTAGATGCAGTGGATAGCTGGGCATGGTGGTATACGTCCTTAGTGCCAGCTGCTTCCAGGCTCAAAAGGCCTAAAAGAGACAAGGGAGGGATGACCAAACGAAGCCCATTTTAAGGTCCCTTATGGGAGACCTATGTGTATCTTGGGATTGGGGAGAGCACGGGTGGTGGGTTGAGCGTGCATGGGTGGGTGAGGGAGGAAGGAGGTGCATCTGGGCAGGTGTGAGTGACGGAGGGTAGGTGGGCGCCGAGTGTGTGAGTGTGGAGTATGTCTGTCTGTGTGTGACAGGGGTGGAGATGGGGAGAGAGGGAAGATTTTGGGCTAGTTTTTTAGGACTGAAACGTGTTTAATGTGCTTTGACCTCTAAGGAGCCATTTTGGCTTTGAAAAGGGACATCTGTAGGGTCTGAACAGCAGGAGGGGTCTAACCCAGACACCCAGGGTGAAGCTGAGGCTGGACGCTGACTGGGGAGTCAGGATCCCTCACTACTGGTTCTGTTCTGCATCTCTCTTGATGAGAGACTCATTTTTCCTCTCTGTGTAGGAAGGTGTTGGTCTTTGGGGCTTTTTCCCTTAGACAGTGTCTGTCACAGTGCCTGGTGCCTAGAGCTGCTCAGTAAACTCTGGTTGATTGAATAAATGAGTGGTAAGTGGAGAGAAACCAAGGCAAGGACCCTTGTCTTACTCTTTACATGAATATATGGAAGTCCCTACCCATCTCCATCTCAACCTCTCTCTCTCTCTCTCTCTCTCTCTCTCCACACACACACACACACACAACACACACACATACACACACACACACACACACACACACACACTTAAATTCACCTGTGTTCACCAACTGTCCACATCTTTCACCCTCACTTGCTGCCAGACTCTGGCCCAGGTCTTGGAACCTCCTGCCTTCGCTGAGCCCTGCAGCTCTCTGTCCCACCAGGTTCTCAGGCTCAGTGCTTCTTGGTCACCAGGGATGCCCTGCCCAGCCATGCTGCTGACCACAGCTGCCCTTCCCAGCCCTCTCTTCCCGTTCTCTTCATCTTCTAGTGGCCGCTCATTTTCTTGCCCCCATACAGAGACACACGGACCACATGTGGCACCATTGGCTGTCTGTGTCGCCTCCTTTGCTCTAGTAACTACCTCAGTCTTTGTCGCTGTCTCCTCATTCCTATCATGCTCTGTCCTCATGTTTACATCTGTCTGCATTTCTTTATCCATCTTTTCCTCCGCCCTCTCCTTTTCTTCACTCCCTCCTACCCTCCTCCCTTGCTCATTTCTCCTCTCCTCTTCCTCACTCTCTGAGCACACATCCTCATGCTTGCTTTTTCTCTCCCTTGCCTCTGTTCCTGGATCCCAGGGCTACTACCCACACCACACCCTGCCCCTTTCTCTTCCATGAGCCTCTGCCTGGTTCCCAGGGCCTGGGTGGCTTCAGCTTAGAGGTTTTTGAGGTGTTGGTTGGAGGGGCCCTAGGGTCACTGCATTTCCTCCCAGGGGTGACTTGGCAGAGATATGCCTTGTTTCCTCAGTTCTGCAATTGCCAGGCGACAGCACAGAGGCTAGGGCTGGGGCCCAGACCCAGAGGAACACCCAGAACCTGCGGCCGAGTCACTGCCCTGCTACAGGTAAGGGGTCCCAGCTGCAGCTGGGCAAGGGAGGGAAACCTATGTCTCCAGGAGGTCAAGATCATGCCCCCAGGCTGTACCTCGGCAAATAGGCGCTTCTGGTTTTAAGGGACTGTCCTGGCACCTTCCTCAGGCTCAGAGTCTTATGTTCAGAAAGAACTTCTTGTGAGGAAACTTTCCCAGCCAACTCAGCATTCCTTTTTAGTTCTCTGAGACCAAGGCAGCGCCGAAGTGACCTCAGATGCCTCCTGGGAGATAATGCTGGTGATGAGTGTCAGACACCCGAATGCCATCTGCTTTACAGCTGCAAGACCTTGGGGGGATTGGATTCCCTCTCTGTGCTGTTTCCTAACTTGTCAAAGGAGACAGTACTGTCTCCCCAGCAGGATTGTTGGGGGAGGTAGAGGGTCTGCATAGGAGTGGGTCTCCCTGGGGGATAACTAAGGCCATTTGGCACAAAGGACTGAGCCCTCAGCCAGCTTCACCATCAGGTCTAGGTGCTGGGGACAGAGTGAAGCTGGTATCCCCCCCGCCTTTGTTGGCAGGAAGTCTGTCTAGACGAGGGGCTGGTGAAGCTGACCTGCTGACTAGGTACTTGCTCACCCATTAAGAATGAATGTCCCATAGGCCCGGTCCAAACGTCAAGCAGCTCTCATTTTACTCCAGCTGAATATCTGGCTGTGCTTAAAGCCTGTGTGTGTGTCGGGGTTGGAGGAGGTGACTGCCAGAGAAGAGGCGTCCTTATCTCTGGGTACTGACAACCTAGCCAAAGAAAGACATCAGCCCTGGAGGCTGTGGACACTCAAGGTTTGTTTTTTTGAGACAAGTTCTTATTATATAGTGGTCCAGGCTGGCCTCAAATTTGAGATCTTCCTGCCTTAGTCTCCAGAGTACTGGACTTGCAGGTGTGCACCACAATGCTCGGCTCCCCAGGCACTTAATTTCAACTCTTACTTATAAGCTGGAACCTTGGGCAATTCAGGAGCTTCACTTTCCTCCTTTGCCAATTGGAGGTCAAAATACTGACTATGAGAGTTTGTGGGAAGGATGGAGTAAGAGGCTGGGTGGTAAGAGCTTTGTCGATCATAAAATGGTTTGTAAACGCAAGCAGTGTGCTACTAATTCCGATACCATAAATCTTACATTCTTACGTAGATGCCTTAGGGCTGAGGACCTTGTTTTGCTTGTTACTTTCTCCTTGCCCTCAGCAGTTTGACACGCAGTACGTGCTCAGGAATGTGTGGAGCAGATGATGATGGGCCACTGTCACAGCTGTAGTTGATAGAGAACCGGCAGTGAGCCACAGGCCAAGCTCCACCCCTGATCCTGGGCTCACCTTGGGCAGTCCCTTTTTTTTTTTTAGTGGCACCGCCTCCTCTTCCATGCTGGGCCCTTTCCAGTGGGTGGAGGCATGGCCAGGAGGGGCAAGAGCTGAGTTCCAGGCTGGGAGCCCTGCTGGCTGGGCCCTGGGTGGGTCTGTGTGGGAGTGGAGTTGGTTCCTGAGAGCTGGGCCCTCGTGCAGCCACCTCTCTCAGTGGCCTCTCTTGGGTACTCAGTAGCACAGAGAGCACAGGCAGGGTGGGGGTCAGGAGGATGAGGGGGACCTCTGGTGTCTCTGTGTATGCATGTATGTCATGCTTGTGTGAGGTGGATGGGGGGCGTTGACTGTGCTGTGTCCACACGTGTCTGGAGTGGGTCCTGCAGGTGGCCCTGGTGTTGAACACCAGTTCCCAGAGAGAGGACCACCAACATAGCCAGCTGAGAGGTTGGTATGCCTCTGTGTGGCTTCAGCCAAGGGGAATGTAGAGCTAGAGAGAGAGAGAGAGAGAATCCTTCCTGTGGGAGGACCACCACTCAGCTACCTCTCTCCATGGCCTTAGTTCCACAGTTGATAGAAGGGACATTCCTTCACAGCTTCTGAGGCCCATTTCCATTTACTGGGTGCTTCATTGTCCCCACCCTGTGATCTCACTTCCTTTTTACAACACTGATCAAGGCCAGCAGGGCACCCAACTTTGCAGATAAAAATCCCAAGGTTCAGAGCTGGAAAGTTCTCCTGCAAGGGGGGGGGTAGCACTGTTGATGCCAGAGCCCTGGTCTCCTGATTCCAGTGCTTTCTCTCCAGCCACTGCCGGTGGCTTCTTCCAGAACAGATGTGGTTGGCTTGATGTATGGCTGATTCCTTTGCTTATTAACAAGTGTTTTCTGAAGACAGTGAAGAAGGAAACTCACAGCTCTAAGTAAATTGCTTCACTCATCTCTCATGACTACTGTCACTAGCTGGAACCCTGAAATTATTGATAGCTGTTGTCCTGTCAGATGCTCTTGCTTGCAAGTTTTAGTCTGGGTGCAGAGAATCAAGTGCTCTCAACCTCTGAGGGGACTCCAGACCAGCTGCATTTGGTCCAGATGCCATGTTGGCACTCCAGATGACCCTGGGCTCATTCTAATTTCATTATAATGATAAAAAATCATGGTGGCATGACAGATCCAACCATGCCCAAATCAGAGAGGAAAAGAGATGGCGCCCTGCAATAAACATGGGTGTGCAGGTGCCTCTGGAGTAACCTGTGTCACAGTCTTTTGGGTATATCCCCAAGAGTGGTATTGCTGGATCAAATTGTAGATCGATGTCTAGCTTTTTAAGTAGCCTCCAAATTTTTTTCCAGAGTGGTTGTACTAATCTACATTCCCACCAACAGTGTAAGAGGGTTCCTTTTTCCCCGCATCCTCGCCAACACCTGTTGTTGGTGGTATTGCTGATGATGGCTATTCTAACAGGGGTGAGGTGGAATCTTAGCGTGGTTTTAATTTGCATTTCCTTTATTGCTAGAGATGGTGAGCATTTTTTCATGTGTGTTTTGGCCATTTGAATTTCTTCTTTTGAGAAAGTTCTGTTTAGTTCACGTGCCCATTTCTTTATTGGTTCATTAGTTTTGGGAGAATTTAATTCCTGGAAAGCTCCTTCCCTTTCAGTGAAAAGCTCTGATGGCAGCAGGCTACCCCACCCCTTCAGAGTGCAGCCAGGCCCAGGGCCTGCTGGGAGACACTGTGCCCTTGGAGTCTGAGCAACCCTTCTCCATTCATTAGCCATTGCATAAGATGTCCTGCCTGCCCCTAGGGCTTTCTTGTTCTTGGTGACGGGATTAAGTAGGGACAGAACCTGCAGATACGGTACCACTACCCTGTGAGGAAGGATTTATAACCATTTTGCAGGAGAACAAAAGGAGGCTGGGGAGCCAAACATCAGGTAGCTAAGAAAGAGCAGAGTCAAGTCTGTGAGGCTCAGGGGCTGGGAGCCCGAACCCTGTGTCTTTCCTGGGCCTGGGCCCTTGACTGGCTTTGAGTCAGGACTCCCAAGCTGGGAAGAAGTCAGTGCCATTCCTGGTAGAAGGGAGGCTGAGCCCAGTGCTGGGGTGTGAATGCCCAGAGGGTGAGGGAGACACCTGCTCACTCCCTCTTCCCTGCCAGTCTCGCAGGAAGCTAGATGGGGGAGGGTGACTCACAGACACACCCAAGTCAGGTTTGGGGTGTCCCAACTCCACAGGGATTTCCTGGTCCAGCTGAAGTCAGGCTGAGTCACATCAGTGTAATATACATATTTGGACTCAAGGTAGAGTCTCCAGTGACGAGAAGAATTGGGTAACCCTGGCTCCAAGCTGCCCCGATTTCTGGGCCACTAGACTCTCTGTCCCCGGTCTCTTTCCAAAGAGCTCCATTCACCAACCAATGAATGTGGCCACCATGGCGCTGGACTCCTTGTTTGGCAACTTCAGAAGGCCTGGAGCAGAGCTCCCCAGAGTCCAGGATATTACTCCTTCCACTTGCCTCTCAATTCCTCCTGAATCTTGGAGAAATGGTAAGAAAGCCACTCCATAGGGGAATCCTAAGAGGGTACGGTCAACCACGGCCAGGCCAGGGCAACAGCAGGAGGTCAGAAGGGACAGGAACTCATTTATTGAGCAGCTAGTACAAGCCAAGGATTTTAGATTTATCTGTCTTCAACCTCAAGCCTATCCTCCAAGTCAATGTTGATATCATTCCCATTTTATAGTCAAGAAAGGTGGGACTGGCCCCAGGGACTTCAAGAGCTGCAGGAGGCTAATTTAGCTATTAAATATTTCTTGAGTATTTGCAGTGGAGGAAGACCTGTGATGGGTATTAGTGATTTGCCAGAAGCCTGGCCTCCCAGGAGTTCCCAGTACAGAGGAGGGAAAAATCAATAGTTATTAGAATTCAATGTGGCGTTGTGTCATGGTGGCACCTCTGATCTGCCTGTGGTAGAGAAGTAAGACCGAAAAGAGCCAATGCTCATTGAGCTCTCACTGCAGAGCAGGCATTGTTCTGTTGGTTGGTTTGTTTTTGTGTTTTTGAGATAAGGTCTCTCTATGTAGCCCATGCTGGCCTCGAACTTGAGATCCTCCTGCCTCCGCCTCCTGAGTGTTGGGATTTGGGTCTGCACCATCATACCTGGTTTGACAAGATAGTGTGTTTCTTTCTTTTGTGTGTGTGTGTGCTACTTGTGAACTCAGGGCCTTCACCTTGAGCCACTCCACAAGCCCTATTTTTGTGAAGGGTTTTTCGAGACAGGGTCTTGTGAACTATTTGCCCGGGATCGCTCTGAACTTCTATTCTCCTGATCTCTGTCTCCTGAGCAGCTAGGATTACAGGCGTGACTGTCTCCTGACTTCTACTTCTTTGCAATAGCCCTAGGACGTGGGCATTGTTACTATCTCCATTTTACAAGGAAACCCCTGGAAAGAGAAGCATATGGAAATTGAATTTTGGATAAGACTGGCTAGTGTCATTTTACTGATACTGATCCCAGCTGCCACCAGAAAATCTAAGTGGGTCCCAGGAGTTTGAATGGGTCATAATCTATCTGGAAGGCTGCTGTAGGTAGCTTAGAGTTGGGGTGAGTCTGATTGGAGAAACACCTGATTTGATCTTGATTTCCTGTACATACAGCTTTTCAGATTGATCGACTGTGAACACCTTGA